TTAAAATAACAATATAATATAATATAATATAATATAATATAATATAATATAATATAATATAATATAATATAATATAATATAATATAATATAATATAATATAATATAAGGCGTCACAGTGGCACAGTGGGTAGTACAATCGCCTCACAGCAAGAAGGTCGCTGGTTCAAGCCTTGGCTGTGTCAGTTAGCATTTCTGTGTGGGGTTTGCATGCTCTCCCTGTATTCGCATGGGTTTCCTCCAAGTGCTCTGGTTTCCTCCACATTCCAAAGACATGCAGTATATAAATTAAATAATGTAAATTGGCTGTGGGCGAGGCAGTGGCGCAGTAGGTAGTGCTGTCGCCTCACAGCAAGAAGGTCGCTGGGTTGCTGGTTCGAACTTCGGCTCAGTCGGCGATTCTGTGTGGAGTTTGCATGTTCTCCCTGCCTTCGTGTGGGTTTCCTCCGGGTGCTCCGGTTTCCCCCACAGTCCAAAGACATGCGGTAGACTAAATTGTCCGTAGTGTATAAGTGTGTGTGTGTGAATGTGTGTGTGGATGTTTCCCAGAGATGGGTTGCGGCTGGAAGGGCATCCGCTGCGTAAAAACTTGCTGGATAAATTGGCGGTTCTTTCCGCTGTGGTGATCCCGGATTAATAAAGGGACTAAGTCGACAAGAAAATGAATGAATGAATAAATTGGCCGTAGTGTATGTGTGTGAATGCAAAAGTGTATGGGTGTTTCCCAGTGTTGGGTTAGGCTGGAAGGGCATCCGCTGCGCAAAACATATGCTGAATAAGTTGGTGGTTCAATCCACTGTGGCGACCCCAGATTAATAAAGGGAATAAGCCAAAAAGAAGATTAATAAATGAATGAAATTTCAATTAAACCACATACTTCTACAAGAAGTAACAATGTTGGCTTTTTATTTCAGATGTGAACTTAAAAGTTGGGAACATAGAGATGCATCAAATTAAATTTAATATATTTATTTTATATAGAAAGCAGAGTTTTGAATTATTGTTTTAAATAATTTGAAACAATAAAATGCTATAGAGGGTAAATCTATTTTACATAAATTACTTTTAAGGGTAAAACTCAGGTTAGTGTAATAAAAAAAGATCCTTACCTTTTAACTTTACTCCTTATTCCTTCACCTAAATGTGAGATGAAAGTTGAGGGGTTACATTAAGTCTTTTGATATGTCATGAAATTATTGTTTGAAATATGTTTAAAAAGTTTTTTTTTTTTTGTAACAGTGAAGGAGCTGAAAAAAGTTACAATACACATAATATGTATTTTAATATATGAGCACTTGTTCTCATATTTCATATTTGTTAGGAAACAATGTTATGTTCTTATATTTTCTGGTCACATATTTATTTCTATTTCTATGTACATAATTATATCATTCTTGTTTTGTTTTTAAGAAGTTTTTTGTACTATTGTCTATTGTTAAAAACCAATAGTGACAAAACATTATTATTATTAGGCTATTAATTGCAAAATAAGCTAAACGTCTATCAATGTTCATGACAATGAATCAAATTTAGTAAATTTTTTATCTACTCTGTAAAATTTTCTCATGCCTACAGTAGGTTACATTTCAGGGACCACTGGCTCTTATTCTATCTTGTATAAAAGAAAATACAAGTAAGAACAATTCATATTCCAAATGCTCTCCTATTAACACCACGATCAGACATAGTTGTAGTTTTTTAAAACAATCCTCATATTCAGAGTCACTAATTTTCGATGCTTGTGCTAAATTTAGTTCATTTTTCCCAGGGATGACGAATAGTTGGCCAACCATTTCATGTTCCTGTGGAGTCCGGAAGCCAGTAGTGTCCCGTGTTGCAAATCGGAATTTATAAACAGGTCAGATTTTTAATCAGTCTGGTAGTAAACCTGTTCAAACGTGCCATTTGATGTAGCTGAGGTTATAAATGTTTTTAAACGACGCCGTGTCCGTGTAGTAGTAATGCGTCTCAGCCGGCGTCCATGTGTACGTGAACACACGTGGGTCTCCGAGCAGCACTTCTAGCACTGAAGCTAACACATGCTTGTCAGATTCGTGTAAAATATATATCCGCGTACATTTAATGTTGTTGAAGGACAAGTGTTTTGTTGACTTGCTGGTTTTATGCAGATATTTAGTGTTGCGGATGGTCTGGCGTTGTTGGTTTTTATTGGGTGCTTTAGCTTTTCAGTTAGCATAGTGTCAATTCACTGTGGTGTTGTTTATGTGTTAAATCAGATGAGTTTATGTTTTTTAGAATTGTTTTTATGGATTTGAGGACACAAATCTCTGTCTAGGACTAATGTGGTGTTGTCAAACAGTCTCCATTTCAACTACATGCTTTTGTGCAAATATGCAAACAAACAAACAGATAAAAATGTTATTGTTATACTAGTATGTCAAAATATTTGTCCTCGAATACTCGTAAAATAATCTGACAGTGACCAAACTAAACGTTATGTTTATGTCATATTACTTTGCTTTGTAAACAGAGATCATGTATTTTATGGCCACGTTATACATGTAAACATCACTTTCGAGGGACTGTAGTGTATGTACGTTATACTGTTTTAAATTGGTCTCATATAAGCTGTTCAAGTGTGTCACGAAAGCTCTAGAGCATTTGTTTGTAAGTTTGATTAGCATTTATGGTGGTTGAACATATTAAATAAAGTTAAGTAAATAATTAAGTTGGTTTTATATTTGCATATTCTGAAATGTTCCTTAATATAATTTCAGAAAAGTATTATTAAATTCTGAATAGGAAAATCAGATTAGCAGCCAATAACTTTTAAAATACATCATTGTTTACATTCAATTAAATAGTTTTCATGTTGTTTTAAAGTCATACTTGCATGCGATTTCAGATAGAATATTCAAAGTACTTAGCTGGGTAAACAATTAGGGGACAGTTATATAGAGTATATAAGTTATTATAACACATATTAATATGTGAAAATAAAACCAACTTTACCTCAGTGTTGAACATATGATGAGAACAATATTGTGTATTGTTAATCTTTGTTTTTTTTTATGTTTTTTGGAGAGTAAGTAAAATACATTTGTGTTTAGTTCCTAGTCTTTTTTTTCTTTAGCTTTTATATATACTGCATAAAATAATTATAATAAATGTAGAGTTCCCAAATAAATCTGCAGATGTTTTTGTATCATGCAGACTATTTCAGCAAGATATAGTAAATATATGCATCATGCGTTATTTTTGTTGAATATTCTTATAGTGATTTTGTTTGTGATTATAACATGTCTCTTGACAAATTTTATTTATGTTTATTAATGTAATAATCATAATTAGATAATCAATTATCTTATAGGCTAATAAAAACTGTGAAGGTGCAAACATTGAGAAAACACAATGGTCAGCATAACAGCAGGTTTAAATGTAGTACGACCCCATTTGATTGGCCAAATTTGGATAAACAACTTATTTATGCAACACAAAATCTTGGCGCATATGCTATTATTTTGATAATGATAAATCTACAATAAATTGGGCAGCCCTGTTGCTGAAAAAAGCGTGTAAGCTTTGTCATACTCTTAAGAGGACTAAAGTGAAAGCATTTAAGTGCTCACTGTAATTCATTACATAATACCATTACTTTAACTTGCTCTCGAAATGTGTTCATTAAAAATATATAAAGGTGTATTGTAGTTTCTTTTTATATGTTATTTCTACTTCTCTCAATCATTTGTAATTGCAGATTCAAGTAAAGAAAAAATTTTAAGCATTTGCGATTTTTAAGGCTGTTGAGTTTACAGTGGGCTTTAAATGACGCGTGTATAGTGTGCAATGATGTGAAAATAGTTAATAATAAATCATGAATTGATTTAGGATTTAAAATGTTTTACTTTGCAAAAATTTTAAAATAAAACATTGTTATTAATATTATTTTTGAATAAGATAAAATATTAGTGGGCGGCGTGTGGGTTTCCTCTGGGTGCTCCGGTTTCCCCCACACAAGTTTAAAGGCATGTGCTACTACAGGTGAATTGGGTAATCTAAATTGTTCATAGTGTGTGTGAATGAGTGTATGGGTGCTTCCTAGTGATGGGTTGCTGCTGGAAGGGCATCTGCTGCATAAAACGTGCTGGATAAGTTTGTGGTTCATTCTGCTGTGACGACCCCTAATTAATAAAGGGACTAAGTCAAAAAGAAAATTAATGAATGAATAAAATATCAGTCAGTCAATCAATAAGGAATAGATATTTATGCTTATTATTCTATTTAATATTAATTATAATTTATAAATGTTCAAAGAGCATCAAAACAATAAATATGCAGCAAAAACATTTTTGTTGCATTAAAATGTTTAATTTTTATCATACACATTTATTTTAATTTATACATTTATTTATTTGGCAAGTTTACAACAAGAATATTGAATATTTAGCAACACAATAAATCACTAATTGAGAATTAAAGTGTATTCCCAAAATCCAAATTTAATTGTAATTTTCCAAACAGGTGTCATACATTCAAAAAAACAAAAAAAAAAAGGATTTTTGCTGCTTGTTCAAACTACTTATTTAAAATAAGATGAATAAACACAATTCTTATGGGGTACACCTAATTGTTTTATGTTCAGTTCATTTAAATTTGTAAAAATAATTAGGTTAACTTGCGGTTGGGATATTTTATTAGGAATTTTGTGGCAGTGGCGCCCAATATTTTAACAGTGTATCCCAGTTGTTAGCAAAATGTAAACACTAAAAAAAGTGTAAATGATGAACAATCAGAGCAAAGTTGAAATTAGATCAACAAAATGTCTATAATAATAATTACAATAAACCTCATACTCTGTAAACAAAAAAATATAATAATAAAACCTGAGCTTTCAAGTAAAGTAACTAACCACCATTATTCAAATGCATATTGCAACAATGCCAATTGTGAAGTTGAATAACTACGATACCCCTATGCTAAAAAAAAATCTTTCAGATAGGGAGCTAGTGGCTGGGATGCACAAGATAAGAAATCAAAAAGCCACTCTGGCGACATCATTACATCTGTTTTTACTTACAATCTCCTCACTGTTGCTAGACACTTTTTGCACAATTTTTGTGTGTGTTGTTGTTGTGACCTGAGGTGGCGATGTCGTATTTGGGTTCACATATTGTGTCTAAAAGCATGTGAAAAGTGTGAGGCGCGTAGATTCCTTCACTATTTTTAATGCGATTTGCACTTGTGCTTCCCTGGCATCTCTCGATGACATTCTGGAAAATTGAGATGTTTTCAACTAGGTGCACCTGGAAAATGCGAGTGCGTCATGTGTTCACCACTTTCTAACCATGTGTGCGTCGCTCCCTATTTTTGTGCGCAAGCTGTGGAAATAACCCTAAGCTTATTGGGATTCCTTCCAAGGTGTGCGCTCAACAGACACATTTGATAAAACTATGGCCTTCATACCAAACTTTTTTTATTGACGATAAAATTGTAAATAAAGATTTTTTTATTGACAATAGTGTTCGGTCCGTAAATACTGATACCGTTTTATTGACCCAGCCTTATTTAATAATTTAAAAAGATTTAGAATGGTTTCTTTTGTTTTTATATTACGTATGTTTTGCAGGTCAGACTAAATAACCTATATGGTTATTTAAAACACTTAAGTAGACATTTCTTTACATTTAATATACTTATGTACATAGTATCATATTTGTAAATGTAACTTGATGCAAGAAGCACCAAAATGGGATACCTAGTTTTGACCTATACTAAACGTTACGGCCTCTAAATAACTCACGATCATGTTTGTTTTCCATTTAGGGCTCTCCTTGAGATGTTCTCAGGGTTTCAGGAACGGTACGACCATGAGGACGAGCTGTACAGGGATGAAGAAGACTCATCAGGTTTGTCTGATTCGGACAGCGAGTTGGAATTCCGGCTTTATTCCCAGCTGCACTACAACGCAGAGTTCCAGGAAAACCATGAGGAATCAAGCAAAGTCCAACCATTGGTCCCACAAACTCAACTTCAGCCGGAAACCATGCCTCCTGCTCCACCTGTAGATGTTATCGTGATTGACTCAGGGCCAGATTCTTTTACAGTGTCAGACAGCACAGAGGATGATGAGAGTGTGTGTGCTAATAAAGTTCAGTCATTAAAACATTGTAAAAGGAAGTCACAGCCCAGTCGCTTCCGTTCACCTTCTCCGCCTCAGGTTCAAGCAGGAAGGAGCTCTCCAGATGATGTTGTGGTGCTGGATTCTGATTTAGAACAATCCTCTTCTGAATCTGAACCTCCTTTTGTGGAGGATTTGGACTCGGATACAGACTCTGATTCAGACTCTGATGGACTGGAGAACTGGATGATTCTGGGCAAGGGGAGACAAGATGAAGATCAGAGCATCCAGCTGAACCTCGCGCAGAGTAGTTTTGTGAATACAGGTAAGGATTTTAAAAGTTTAAAGTCGCACTAAATCAGTGTTTCTCAATCATGTTCATGTTTTGGATGTCTCCTTTGTCTGTCACACCCATAGCAGATTTTTCAAGGTGCAGTAGGTAAGTTTGACACCCAGTGGTTGAACTAGGTATTGCAGTTCTGGTTCAAAACGCAAGAGCAAGTCGCAAGATTAACGATACCAACATAGGCTGATTTACATCGTCTTCTAAATAAAAGCAGACAATAGAAGGAATATTTTCCATATTAAAGGGCGTTTTTGTCTAATCAACAATTGATTATAATTGAAATTTATATTTTAGAAACTGCTTCTATTTCTTGCAGCTGAACAACAGAAAACTTACAGTGATAACCCTAGGTACACCTCATGTGCTTTATTCAGTGTTAAATGATAATAATGTGAGTTTGAACGCCATTTTAAATGACGTTTATTGCCATACTACTGAAAGCAGCAACAGATAGTTCACCTCAGATCTTGAAAATAAAATTAAAGTAAGTTTTAAATTGAACTTTAGAACTGTCACTCAGTGCAAGCCAACAGATATTATTGATTCAGCATGTACATTTAGTAGGGATGTAACGGTATCAGAATTTCACGGTACGGTAATACCTCGGTATGAATGTCACGGTACGGTATTTATTGAATCATTTACAGGAAAAAACAAAACTTATGAAAATACTCCAAAAAAGTGCCAAAAGTGTCAATGACATACAAATTAGCCATCTATCTGTAAGCTTTGAAACAGGAACTTCAATTTTAATAACAAAAAAATATTAAACCATGTAAAAAAATAAAGTTTCAATTTAGTATTGTTGAAAACTCATCACATTCAACATTTAATCACACTCAGCCCATCTACCCAGATGAGAGCTCTGCTAGTCGGACTTCTCATCAAGCATCTCCCGCTGGATCTAATCTCACTGTATTTATTAAACGTGATATTTCATTCATCTTGTTGTCTTTATCTAACGACATATTCCCTGACTTTGGTCAGTGGAATCTATTACTTGTTCTCAGGTAACGTGTTTTGGCTGAGCGCAAAGATAAGTTAATGATTAATGTAACCACGTACATTCTGTATATTGACTGATCGCTTGCCTTTATTTCCTATAATGTATAAACTTATTGTATGTTATACTTTTAAAATGGCCATTATCGATTCTTAAAACTGATACTCAGCAAAAGAGAGGCTGTGTTTCGTATTTTCACTGAAATTGAAAGGAGGCAGTGTTTTTATCGGCTCCGTTTTGTTATAAATATCCACACAGTGAAAATGACGCTCATCTTATGCAGCACGACACCTCAACATGTCTGCTGTCTAAGTTGCTAATATTAAAATGAAAATAGGCAGTTCCTTAAATCATGTTTACATTTTATTGTTGAGAAAGTGAAACAACGAAGCCAGGGTGATGTGAATGAAGTTATAAAGTACACCGTTCCCTTTGAAGATTTACCCGTGTCCTCGGTATAATCTGCTTTTCCATATCAAACTGAAAAGAAGAGACTGCAGCCTTGATCAAACTTGCGAAGTCTGAACTTACACGGAGAAGATGCAGGACTGAACTGTGCGTGTTAGGCTACTTAATATTCAGGAAAAGCCCCAATCAGAGGGGCGAACGTCTGCAGCCCCGCTTCCGTTTTCAGATGTACATGACAGTTTATAAGTATCACACACCAGACGCGCACATTCAAATGATATTTAACATGAAACTAATCAGATGGCGCTCTGTGGCGCGGCTGAAAAATGAACTGCGTCCTGAGCCGTCGCCGGGCGCCGCCGACATGCGGCGCCGGTGTGTGTATCCTGATAGAAACCTATGTTTAGAATTCTAAAATACATGGCGCTGCGTGGCGCTGCGCGGCGCGCTGCCGAGCGCCGCTTCTGGTGTGCGACCTGCTTTAGAGTTTTCCAGCTCTTTTCATCCCCGCTTCTAGCAGCACACTCCATTTCCGCATTACTGGATCTGTAGCGACAACAGACCGCAAGGGATGATGGTCAAGCATGGGCTGATGGCAATTGTAGTTTTCGCTACATCCCGTTCGCTTCATTCGCCTGAGCAAATTTTCTCAGAAGACCTATAGTTTTACCGAGTCATGCGACTTCGGTAATATCGAAAAAAATAATATTGCGGTATGACGGTATTTACAATACCGTTACATCCCTAACATTTAGTAATGTTAAAAATGTTTTATATGTATTTATTTAGATTATTAACCTTACCATTTCATTGGAGTGCAGTAAGTGTACTATTCTGTGCTTCTGAATGACTGTATTTGAATTTCTGTAGTGTTTGTAATAATTGCTTATTGCTGCATCTCGTCACGTAGCGTGTTGTTAGGACATGGGGTTACAATGTAACCTGTTTACCTAATGTTCATAACATTTATATTATTTGCAAATTCATAACCACCTAATGTCGAACTATGAATCTGCATTTCATTTCAGAGGCGTTACTGTCGCATTTCGCGCATGCGTACTTTGAGAGACATTTTCAAAGCAAAATATCTGACTTCAGCATTTATTTCAGATTAACAAGAGTTCTTAAATATCTGCAAACATACTATGGTGTTTTTATGCCTTAAAAGAGTCAAAAACTTACATACAGCACCTTTCAGTCTTTTAATGAACTGATGATCTGAATCAGGTGTGTTTAATAAAGAGACATGGAAAAAGCACAAAGCTGGTGGTCCTCCAGGAAAGTGGTTGAGAAACACTGCACTAAATGTTTTTGTCTAATGTTGTCATTCGAAAGCACCAAAAATACCAGAAAATAGTGTTTTTCAGGGTTTCCATGATCATGCAATATTTTGAAAGGTTATGTTCTATTCCAGACATTAAAAGACAGGGAATTTTATATTGGTTTTTCTCTAGGTCATAGCTTGAAACAAAATATTGTATAAGAAATATTATAAAGACAGTTAAGTCTGTAAAATAACAAAAAGGGTAATGGCAGTTTATTACTATGTTATTACAGTAATTTTCAACACCAGCCCAGACTATATATATTAAACATGTTAGTGAAAGTCACTTTTCAACTGTTCAACACCAAAAGTTATTGGATAAAAGAACAAGATCCAATAATCCAATACAAAAGGATAAGTAAATGAAAAAACAAACCACAAAACACAGAAAACGATTAGTTTACAGATTAGTTTACAGATTTTTACAGTGTGACCAAAATTTGCAGGATATCAACATCAATAAGATTTAATAATCTAAGATTTGCATTAAAATTTGCACTTACAGAATCACTTAATTTGCTGCACAGCACAACAGCTGTTTTTTCTATTCAACTTTTTAGTCTGGCAAAAGTCAGGCAATTTGACATTTGGCTTAGAGCGGGTATCCTGGTTTTTACTTGTGTCGTGATTTCATCAGTTACTTGTTTGTTCAGCCATTATGGAGATATAATTCTTCTTCAGTTCTTCCTATTTAAACTTTTTAAACCACAAAAAATGCTACATTAAAGAAGGATTCAGTAAGAAGTAAAAGGTGTAATATTATCATAATCTAAATTTAATAGGCTCTATTTTGCTTGATTTGTTTTAACTCATTAAAGTCTTTAGTATTTAAATGTTTTTTCAGATCTTGCTGAATGGTACAGACCGAAACGTGACAATAATTGATTATTTTGAGCAGCAGTAATCATTAAAATATGCCATTTTCTTTTGGTTTGTGGCGCTGCTTTCATTCATGGCCAAGGCTGACTGATGATTCTTTCTTTAAAAACTCTGTAGTTGCTAGGCACATCCCTCACTGCAGATTGGCTGCAAATGTGTTTTGTGTATTGGTCCATACTGTATCCAAATTTTTCAAATATTTACATTCCCAGCTGTGCACATTTAAGACATAATATCATTTAAATAAATGCTCTTAGTTATAAATGATCTATGGCCATCAAAGTATTGTAATTAATATTTATTTGTGACTTTTTTTTCTCTTTTTTTCTCATTTGTTTAAATATATTATGTTTCAATTAGGGTTGTAACGGTATGAATTTTTTACGGTATGATAATCGTCTAAAACAATACCACGGTTTGACGGTTTCGCGGTATACGGTATGTTACAAAAGTTACAAAATAATAGAACAGTGAAGCAAATTTGACTTTTTCCAAATAATATATTTTTAGTTACTATAAACAACACCACTTAATGAACAAATAAAAAAATAAGAAAATAATAAATAATGTGTCAAAGTCCAAATAAACATGGTGCAAATCCTCAGTAAAAAATAGATATAAATATTTACTATACTATAAATAGTTACATAACGAAACTAGATTCAATATGGAACATCCTTAGGTTTTATGTGCCAGAATGGATATGGTTGTCTGTGGATATGGATTTGGATATGGTTGTCTGCAATGCAGACAAACAGCTGCATCTTCATTTGCGTCTTTTGAAAACAGCAAGAGCAGCAGTTCGTCTTTGCTGTGTCACTGTTTTGTCATGTTTCTGTGCTGCTGTGCATGCAAAAGTACTTAGTATGAGAATTATTTCGTGCAAAACTTTTCTTTTTTTTGGCGTTTTATTTAGCCGCGCATAAATGTATGCCTATCTCTCATTCCGTGTTGTTCAAAAAGCTTGGTCCACAAACAAAAGCGAAACCTATGCTTATTGGTTGTGATATAGCGAGTTTGAACCAATCTGGGCATGGAGGAGGGACAATGCATCAATATATCATGTCTGGTTTGTCCGGAGACACAGTGACGAGCGTTTCTTTGTCAAATCAGCGTTGTCAAATGTTGATGACGTAACCGCACTGATTCCGGAGCCTCTGAAAGTCCGCGAATGTTATGTGATACAGCACTGGAAAGCTAAGATTCTCTTCTTTATGCCAATCTTTGAATTGTATGAATCGGATCAGCGGATCAAAAGTTATTAAACATTTAAGAGCAATACTTATTTTTAGCCGCTGCCGGCTGTCTCGGTCTTTAAGGGTTAAAACCGTTGATATGCAATTGTTCATGGTATGATAATCGTGC